GAAAGGCTAGTCATCAGCAAGTGATGCAGGATTCTCAAACCCATCTCGAAGCCTTCGAATCCACGGCTCAATCTTTTGAGCCTCGCGAACCTCATCAAGAGAAGGTAGATCTTGCTCTGCACCCTGTGGACACTGAACGTCAAGGACAGCAACTGCCGACGGCACAGAATCCTCATCTAGAAAATCCACAGACGCTGGAACAACAGATTCGTCAGAAACATGAGAAGTGAGTGGAGAAGGAAGAGGAGCTCGAGAAAGGGCATCAGCATCAGCCATAGAACTCCCTGGGCGATGAACAACATCGAAATCATATATCTGAAGCTTCAAAGCCCATCGAGCCGTACGACCAACCAGGTTCTTCCGCTTCAATAATGAAGTAACAGCAGTATGGTCACCTTCAAGTAAAGTCCGAGAACCATGTAGATATGCATGAAGTTTCTCGAAACCCCAGACTGCTGCTAAACACTCCTTCTCCGTCGTGGAGTAGTTCATCTCCGCTGGTTGTAATGTACGGCTTATGTATGCAATGGGATGGCGCTGACCAGGCACACTCGAGCTCTCTTGCATCAACACACCTCCAAGACCAATGTTAGAAGCATCCACGCGCAAAATAAAAGGTTGAGTGTAGTCAGGATATGCCAAAACCAGAGGAGTCGTCAATAGCTCTTTGAGATCCACGAACGCCCGCTCACAATCCGGAGACCAGATGAAAGATGACATTGATGACTTCAGCAACGCTCGCAATGGTGTAGTGCGATCGGAAAGATGATCCACAAAACGACCGAGATACTGCACCTTACCCAAAAAGCGCTGCACATCATTCATACATTTCGGAGTAGGGAACTTTAGAACAGCCACAAGTTTGTCAGGATCAACTTGCAAACCCTCACGAGAAATACGGTACCCAAGATAAGTTGTGTCCTTGGACCCAAACACGCACTTTGACCGCTTCAGCTTTAAACCAACATCACGTAGCCGATCCAACACTTTACAAACATCATGAACGTGCTCCTCCCACGTCCCCTCCGAGTGGATCAAGACATCATCAATGAAGTCAGCAGTCACTTCTGGCATATCGCAAAGAACCTCGTCCATCATCCGCTGGAAAGTTGCGGGAGCATTGTTCAAACCAAACTGCATCACCAAGAACTCGTACAAACCAAATGGTGTACGAAAAGCAGTCTTAGGAATATCTTCTTCGGCCATCGGTACTTGCCAATACCCAGAAGCAAGATCTAGCTTGGTGAACCAACAACTTCGCCCCAGACGATCTAAGAGATCAGCAGTGTGAGGAAGAGGATACACATCTGGGATCGTCACTTCGTTTAACGGGCGATAGTCGATGCAGAAACGAATACTCCCATCAGGCTTCGTCACAAGATGAGGTTCACATGCCCAAGGACTCCGCGACTTCTGAATAACACCCTTCTCAAGCATTTCCTTGACGTTGGCTCGTAAAAGCTTGATCTCCTTAGGTGACCGACGACGAACAGGAACCTTGATTGGACGAGCATCCCCGGTTGGAATCGGATGACGTGTGGCAATCTTGGCCCCAGACGATAGGTCAAATTCAAAGAGATCAGAATACTCCTTCATGAGCCGGTCAACTGCTGCAACACAAAGATCGTCGAAGGGATTGGAAAAGGGAAAAGCAGAACAAGATGGAAACACAAAAGGAAAGAGTGGGGGAACAAAAGTAATGGAAGCAGAGGTAGAAGTAGAGGGACGAAGAGGTATGGAAGTGAGAGGAATGGATGAAACATAAGGAAGTATGAGACAAGGGGGAGAAGCCTCAAAGTCACACTTGGCATGATTGCGCTGCAACCAATCCATACCAAGAATGAGGTCAAAAGCTTGACTCGGCACCACCCGCAACGACTGCAACTCAAGCTCGAGATCGCCCACACGCACAACCAGGTCCACCTCATCCCATGCACATGCATGTGTACGGCCGTTGCCATAAAGAATGAAAACTGGTTCCGCCGCACGACGCAAGTGTAGACGACAACGTGTGGTAACAGGTCGAGCAATAGAAGATAAACTCGAACCTGTATCAACCAACACAGAGAGAATAATAGGAGACCTCTTGTTATAAAAACGAGCTTGGAAAGTAAACACGGGATGAACCGGTGCCGAATGAACCCCTTGATGATACTCCCGAAAGAAAGATGGAGGGGTCACTGATTTATTCGCGCAAGGTCCCTCCATTACTCGCGCGACTCCTCGTTTCCCGGATGCATCTCGGTGTCCAGACCTTCCACTGCAGCAGCACCCACAGGACGTTGCTGACGCCAAGGTCTCCACCCAGGAAATGGAGGTCGCCAATCTGGAAAACGACGGCAACGCTGATAAGTATGACCAACTTCATCACACGCCCAGCAGTGAACATCACGGCCACGACCACGTCCTCGCGCTTGTCCTTGGACTCGAGCAGCAGCAGCATCAACCTCCATTGGAACAGGACCATCACCCATAGGAAGGGGAGCGGAAGGACGTGCAGCGAGAAGTGGAAGAGGCGACGTCTCATAACGTTGTGCTAAGCGAAGAGCATCGTCAAGGGTGGCAGGAGCAAGTGCATGCACAAGTCCGACAAGATCTTGACGAAGTGCTGGCCACAACATTCCTAGCTTGATCCGCTCCGACATATTTGGCTCTGCACGAAGCAAAAGACTTCGGAAACGAACGCCAAATTGCATCACCGACTCAGATGGCCCTTGGCGAAGACGATGCAATTGTTGGAAAGCATCATCACAATCATCGGCATGGCCGAAGGCGCGTTTGAAGACGTCCGGGAGAACACTCCAATCCCCACGAGTGGCTGCGCTCAAACCATTGTACCACTGCAACGCCGTCCCTTGGAGACATGTGGGAAACTCACGCAAACGTCGAGCATCATCCCAAGAATGATATGTGGCAATCACCGTGAAGTGATCGAACCAATGGTACACATCATCCCCAGGATTTCCGTGAAAGAACTCCGGCCGAACACGAGGATTAGCACCAAGAGCAGGAGGAGTTGTACCACGTGCCGTGAACGCCACCATCAACTGAGTTTAATTGTTCAATTGCAAGCGCATAGTATCAAGCAATTGTACCAACTGCTGCTCTAGAGTCAAAGGAGGAGATTGCGGATCTGCCATGAAGATGAGCGAAAAAGAAAGAGCAAAAGAAGAGAGATGACAAAAGGCTAGAAGGAAATGGTAGATCTAGACAACGCAAAAAGCTAGATCTAAACTAAAAGAAAGAACAAAAGAAAGGAAATGGAAAAAGTTAGATCTAGACGATACAAAAGCTAGATCGAAACCAAAATCCCAAATCCAAGCACTCCTCAGGGACAATCAAAAGTGCCCCTCACCTCCACCAATGTGAGTGCCTGGAATATGGAAAGGGAATACAGAAATGTGCATATTAATTAGCCCAAAAACCCTAGCTTATATACAGGAGCGAGTGGTCCGGATTGAAACCAATCCGACGGCTACCAAAATCCACTACGCTAATATTAGTATACGGCATCGTAGCCGTACACTTGGCCCTCACATCCCTAAATTATTTTAATCATATATTTATGCTATGCAAAATCAGAACTAATTTAATAGAAAAATTTTGTGACTATGAAATAGATTAAGAAAATGCTGATTGAAGCAAGAAGTTGTGTATAATGCTGCCAAAACTATGACATTCACACTCACAAATCTTCCATATAACTACTCTAATTGGTTAATATCAGCCTCCAGAGAAAAAAATCACAACAAATTTATGGAAGTGATCTACTTTCTCACCAAAGTCATGGCTCTTGGTGAATCAAACACAGTTCGAATTTAGGCCAGCCTCCCAAACCTAAAGTGTACTAACTTCACAAGTGCAAGCTAGCCGAGCAGCTTATTTCAGTCCCAAATGGCAGGAGCTCCTTTTTTTTTTGTCATTGAGTAAAACTAAAGGCCTTACAATCAAATGATCATAAACAGGACGGCTGAGCACTCGTCTTGAGTTACACCGACAATTTAGATTGGTTTGTGAGAATGCTCCCGGACTTTGGAGTCCAATTGACAAAGGATCACTTCTACTGCATCGCAAATGGTTTTGCAAAGTCTGGATGCGTTGGAGTTTCAGTCCCGTTTGATCTGGATGTTATAACTTGGACTCCCGTTCACTTTTTCGCCATAAGCATCAGCCCCCACGTCTTCATGACCAGGAGGGCTTCTTCGCGAAAATCATGCTTCAGTTCAGGCAAAGCTCCAGCAGAGCTTTCAATGCCCTTGGCTCCGGTTTGGGTTTTTCCTCGATCCACTTTACTACAACATCTATCTTGCACACCATATCTATTCTCTCATCCTAAGAGGTGACACCCCTGGCACTCGAGCTCCACAGCAAATCTCACCAGCTCTCCCAAGTACCATCCCCTCTTCATACGATGCTCTTTGTAAACAAGGAGTTCTTCAAAGATGTCACCCAGGAAAGATATGGATGGAGCACAGATCTTGTGCTGCTCTTGACAAGGGATGATAAGTTCCATGAAGATGTGAGAAAGGTGAAAGATTGCATGTAATCCAGGGAAGGGATAGCCAAAACCATGAGGAAAGCAGCCCGATTGATTGGATTGGAAGAGGATGACAAAGTGACGCAGCTCATGGATGACACGATGAAAGAATGGGTGCGCGTGGCTGGGTGATGTTGTGAGGTCAGTGTTGAGAAAAATATTTTCTAGATAAAGAGTTTGAAGAGGGAGATAAACAGCTGGATGATGATTCTAGGGATGAGTTTGAAGAGGAATGTTTCTAAATAAACAGCTGGCTGAAAGTTTAGTGAAGATATCCAAGGATGGGATAGAGATTCCAGGAAAAGTTTGAAGAGGTGGTGGAGGCCACAATTCACTATTTCTCAACGGAAGAACTGAGCTACGAAGATAACAAAAGCAACCCAAGGAATGAGCGTGTTGTCATTGACAATATTTTGGAGTTCTTGGAGATGGTTTCGCAAGCTCTTGAAGGACATGGCTTGAGTTCTTCCATAATGATGAAAACAATGTTTGGAATTAGACCAATTTGTTTTCTCAATCCAAGCTCTGAGTTAAAACTTTGGACGTCTATCAAAACGAGATGATTCTTATCTTTCCATCCTCTGACGCGCTGTAGACAACATCTCCGTCCAGCAAGAGTGCGTTAACTTTGCTGCCAATGTTAAGCACCGAGACTCTAGTGTTTCTCTCCCTCAGCCAAACCTCGATGATTCCCGACGACGATCCGAGGTACAGGAAATCGTCGTGCACTGCTATGGATCGAATCTCCAAGTTTGTGGGAAGAGATCGCTTCAAAGAGTAGTCGGTTTGATCCCATACCTGCCATTAGAGAAGAGGTGTATGAAACTTTGTATTGATTCGAGACTTTCCTTACCTTGACTGCTGCTCCTTCCACAACAGCTCCAGCAGAGAAAATCTCGCTCTTGAAAATTTGTATAGCGTAGACTGGCTTCTTTCCCAGTAGAGATCGCGTTCCTGGCTGGATGGTCACAACAGAATTCTCCTGTAGATCAACTTCCTGCCAAGCATTGTATCCAACATATTTCTTTCAGACTGAAGTGTGCATTTCTACTATTTACCTGGATGCTCGTATCGGTGCACCCACAATAGATATTTCCATTTGAAACTGCAAGACATTGGACGTGCTTGCCAGAATTGAGTTGCTTCGACGAGTTACTTTCAGCTTGTACCTTGAAGAACACAGAAGAAACTCAAGTCCTGGATGCAGAGGATAAATGTAAAACCAACCTTGATTCCATTGCCTTGAGGTGTTGCGGTCGCTATAGTAGATCCACTGATGGCCAGTGCACCAACGGCTTCCTTGAAGTCCAACACATTCATGCAGAGAACACTCTCCGGTGAGATTGCCCACACCTGAAAAGATTGCCTCTCCGAGTTACTTAACAGCCGAAAATCTCTAAAGTTGTGCTTACCCGAACAGTCCTGTCGAGCGAGGCACTATACAGCCGGTTTGAAGACGACGACAAGGCCAGGCTCGTCACGGCCTTGCTATGGTCAGTAAGTACCAGAAGCAAAGTTGGCACCTTTTTCTTTGTTTCCCAGACCTGAAAAGCAAAACTCACATTACATAGAATTGAGAGAGAGAAACTGAAACCTGAATGCTGCCGTCGGAGTGTCCGCTGAAAAGCCTTCCTTTACTTCGTGCGAGGCATCGAACCTCCCCGCTTCGAGTGACATCCAATTGTCCAACTTCAGAATGTTGCCAGAGCTCCATCTGTTATGTTAAAAAGCTCACTTTCTTGCTCTATAGAACGGGGATCTTTCTACTTACTGGATTCAACGACGTACACTTGATAAAAGCTTCAATAAACTCCTGTGCAATCCATGTCACCTTCTTCAGTTGCCTGAATGGCTTGACCACATCCTTAGCGTAGCCAATAAGCTCTTGCATACTTTCTGCACAGAGACAGTACTAAGGCCTTGTAATAGTTGGAAGGCTCACCAAATTTTCTTACCTGCGTCGTCGAGGAATGTGTGTAGTCCCAACGCAGCCAATACTTTTTGTTGGACATTTTTCGTAGATTCCAGTGCTACCACAAAAGGTGCCAGAAAATATCGACGAAAATATGGCCGGAGACCTGAAATAGGCAGCTTTTTCACCACGAAACTCAACCAGACTGCAAATATCATGCACGGCTTCCATAACTCCAGGTTTTTGCTTTGCAACATAGCTCCGAGAGCCTCCAGAATTGCCCCTCCTTCGTATTCAAGGAACACTCTAGCCGCATTCAGTTCCCACAGATTTGCAGCCTTTTCTTCTGCAGCCTGTCAACGTGATCACAATTAGCAAGCCATCAATATAGAGATTTTGTGACACCAGAACCTCGCGTTCCTGTTGAGGATCCTCGTTCGTAAGAAGTTCATAAGGCTGCTCTAGACCAGCTAACTTGAGCAGCCAGGCTTCTGTTAGAGGCGTACCCGCGTACGAAAATCTTCCCACTAATGCCACCAATGCTTCAGCTGTTTCAACTTGGCAATCGAATGGTGACTCTCTGCTCAGTGCAGCTACAATTGCATCCAAAGCTTCCTCTTTGTAAATACTTTGCTGTCGTCGCTGGCCCTGCCAAATTTTATTAGCAAAATGCGAGGAAAAAGGCACACGCTACCCACCAGAATCTCAAGCTGAAGCATAAGCACTGCAATCGTATGCTTATGCTCAGTAGGCGCCTTTTGACAAGCAACAAAGAGAACATGCATCGTGGAAAGGATCCCCTCGTTCTTCACAGTTGTAAGCACCTTGTTGTTGGTCTCTCTCCTGTTTTTACAAGTCGTTTTGCAAATTGTCAAGAAAGATTCAGTCATACCTGTTTGAGTGAGCAAGCTCCAAGAAGAAGAATGTTGCCAGCTCCCGAGCGGAACCAGAGCCTCTAACAAGGATTTCCACAACAGGTCCCAACTGTGCAGTCCTGGATATCAAGTTCCTGCACCGGCCGTCTGCTTCCATGCAGCAAAGCAGGACTGAGATGGTGGACAGCCTCTCGTCGATGTCCTTTGCTTTGAGATTCTCTATCACAATGGGGACTGCTTCCAGAGCCAGTAGCAAATGAGCACTTGAATGAGGCCTCTCGGGACTTGTTGATACCAGTTGCTGGAGTAAGCCAACTGCGGCAGCCTTTGGACTACAAAGTTTGTCACCCTGTCCTTGTCCACCATCCAATCCTTTCCTTAGGATTTTCACCAGGTCTGCTACAATGTCTAGAGCGTTCATCTCGTTCGCCGAGAGTTTCAACTGATGAAGAAGAACAGCTCCTTGAGCCACTTCGTTCTTCAAGAGCCTCACAATCGACTCGAGTTCTGGGTCCGCTCTCACGATGGTGTGCCTCGTAAATTCATCGCTTGCAACCAGTGCCGAGAGAATCCGAGCTGCAGCAACTTGCACTTCCTGCGCTACTGAAACCGACAGCACCTCTACGAGTCCTTCGATCACGCTGGCTTTGGTCAGGCTGGCCTCGACTCTAAAGTCACCGCAACACTTTTCCCAGACTGCTGCGATGGTCATGACGGCCTGCTCGCATTCTTGCAAATCCTCGGACACGCACAAACGCTCCACCGCGGGTTTTAGCTCGTGCATGAAGCCTTCAACAGCGGATGCGTCATCCTTCATATGTTTCTTGTGCGTAGCTTGACTTTGCCTGGAGCTTGAGCTGATGACACTGCTCGGAGAAGAACGTAGCAACGCATCCTCATTTTCCAAATCTTGCCAGAGCTCTTGGTTCTCGTCGTAAAAGGATTCCATAGAATTGCCGGCACCGTGTATTTCCTTCCAGTTTTCCACCAGCCGCTTCAGCACGTAGTTGGTACTTGGAAGAGCTCTATTTTTTAAGAGCTGCCGGGTGATGGGACAAGTTGTGTTCCCTCTTTCCAGCCATTCCCGTATGGCTGTTCGTTCGTAAGTCTGTCCTGTCTCAAGTGTCACTGGATCATCGAAGAGCTGGTTCGTGATGGGACAGACAAAGTCTTTCGGAGGCCTGACCATGCGTCTTTCATACGCATCCGTTTCAGACGTCACAGACCTGTAAAGAAAATGTCAGGGACTGCTCCCTAAAGTAAGTAGTAAGAGTACCTTTCTTCATCGTAAATATCACCGTCTCTGGAGATAGAATTCAAGTGCTCGACGTGATTCAACGAGCACCTTCGCTCTAGTGAGCGCTCACTCGTATCCAGTTCGCTCCGATTAAAGGAAGATGATCGAGACGTTTTCTGTTGAGCGCCTGGTCTTGAAAACTCAGCACTGATTGAAGATCTTGACATAGGATGCGCATGCTCGTACGACCTTTCACTCGTCTTGTCAAACGAGGAAGAGCGCGAAAGTGAAGCTCCTTTTGAAGAAGTCGCGCTTGCTGGCTGTTTCTTTTCTTCAGAGCTTTCGTGATCTTTGATTTGCCGCGAAAACGACAATTGCGTTTCCGTGTCGTTCACTAATTCATTGTCTCCATCCCTGCAATAAGATCATCGGAGCGGACAAGATAAAAAACAATCCAGAAAACCGACAGCCGCAGCCACAGTACCTCTCTTCGTCGCTCTCATGCTCCTGAATCACTTCCAGCTGAGCTTTCAAAGGCTGGAAGACTTCGTCCGTTACCGGCGGCTCAGCAGTCGGCAGCAAAGGCTTGACCACCTTGAGCTGTGACGACGGAAGCCTCAAACAATCCCTGTAGAACTTGGCATATTGTCGGGTGTGATCGTCCAGCGTGTTCTGGTAGAGCTCCTCGAGCACCTGGAGTTGAGCTGCTTGCTCGGGAGTGACCGCCGAAAGGAGATTGTTGGGAGCCACTTCATCGGTAGAAACCGCAAAGAAATCGTCCCTGGAGTATGAAGGAAAATCCACACTATAGTCACCACCATGACCAAGTGTTGCGTGATCCTGAGACGGTGGAGCAGCGAGTAGCTTCGCTCGCTGCTCGGAGTACCAGCTCGAAATCCCTGTCAAATGCCGCTGGAACAGCGCTTCCCACAGCCCCGGGGCAAAATCCACTCTCGACTGGAAAGGCTCGGCGATGAACATCTCCAGGAGATTCTCGGCGGCCCTGCGATCGTCGCTCCGCAGCTTCCACACCAGCGCCAGATTCATGTGAGCCGAGGCAGCGAGATAGGCATTGGAGATCCCCGCCGTATCACTCCCCCGATCCAGCAGCGCGCACACCTGGAGCATCTTCTCGGCGTAATCCAGCCGAGCGATCTTCGTCTCCACATTGCCGGTCTGGATCGCCTCCTCGAGCGCGTCGATACCCCAGCCAAGATTCGCGAGCACTGCCTGATCCGCATACCTGACCTCGCGATCTTGGCCCTGCTGCTGCTGCTGCCGATCGAGGATCCACCGCCGCTCCGCCTCGCGCTGCCGCCGCCGCCGGGATGGATCGATTAGGGCATCCAGGGCATAGCGCGACACGGAAGAGAGGAGGACGTTCTCTATGCTCGCGTCAAACAATGGAAGCATTGTCATGATGATCGGAAAATTTGAACATCAATGTTCCAAACCATGGAATGGATATTTGATCGCTGGCATTGTAAGGATGGAAAGACAAGGCTGCCACTGTTTGGATCCATGCGCGGCACTGACACTTGCTTGCAAGAGAATCTCCGCCGGCCGACCAGTCCATCTCCATTTCTTACTAACACGTGGCAGATGAGTACGCTGCCACGTATGCCACAACACACTTGGCATGCCACGTCTATAAATGGTAGCCCTAATTTTAAGGGCCTGGTTTTGAAACAGAATATTCATGGCCATCCCGGGCTTGGGAAAGCATACTGTGATTTCATCTCTTGGAGAAGGTCTTTGCAGCCAAGTAGTGGTCATATTCCTTGATCGCATTTTTAAAATTAGCGCGGTGGCATAGATGGATCGGAATGGCCCCTCCAGAATTTCTTCCCTTTTCTGGTTTCTTGTGGCAAAGAGCTGTTCTTTAGTTTTCTTCTCTAGCGAAACCGTCAGGCGTGGACTCGTAATCCTGGCAATAGAAGACGATGGATTGATCTTTGTTTGCGCAGGCATGTATGTTCCTTGATCCCAAGATCATGTATGGAGTTTTTTCAGCGTCTAATCTTGGCCCAGCAAGGTGGCCAATGCTGGTGCAATCGATCTCCGCGGTGGCAGCAGTGCAGGTAGATCGACATTTAGCTGGCCAAAGTTATATTTTATATTTTTCAATATCTTAGCAGGATTTGAATTAAACAAGTGAATAAAGAAAACTATGACTCAACATCGACCATCCAAATCAAACCAATTTGTTCAAGAGCTTCCGCAGCTTCTCGATCTTGTCACCCGAGCTTTGTATCATTCGCTCATAGTTGACACGATCAAGCCTTGGGTTTAGTTTTTGGTGCTCGTCTTCTTCATCTTCTTCATCTTCTTCATCCACTTCATCATTGTGCCCTTCATAGTAGTAAATTTTAGCATTAATCACCTTCTTCAACCCATCTCTAGCAGCATCATCCCATCTCTTGGCTCTCTTATTCAAGCTAGCAATATCGTCCCATGTCTCGACTCCACCCAAGTTTTTCTCCAGAAGTTTAAATTCACCACTTCTCACACGCTTTACTATACTTCCCACTATCTCCTCATTGCCCAGCCAAATTGCAACTTCAGCCAGTTCCTTGTAGTGACTGCGATATATCAGTGCTCGTGACAAAAGTTCCAAGAAGAGCTGCGTCACCTTTTCATCCTTCTTCAAGCCAATCAGCCCTGCTGCTTGTTTCAATTTGATCACAGTATTTCTTAGCTCCCAATCTTTCACTTTCCTCACGGCATCATGGAATTTCTCATCCAGAGCCAAGAGCAGCACAAGTGCATCGTCACTACCAATGTCACTTAGCCCACCATAGATTTCTTCGAGGTCAACATCCTTGATGAATCTCTTCTTTGCCAAGGCCCTTGCAGCATCGTGACATCCTTGAGACTCCAGCTCCAAGACAAATTCGGCAATTGCTTGCAGAAATCCTCTCCTTCCTTTCAGCTGGAGCTTAGCCAGCTTTTCCATCTTTTTCTTCGCTGTTTCGCTGGGCGAAGGTGGACATTTAAAAGATCTTCCATAGCTCTGCTCGGGTTTCTCTGCTTCTCTCTCCCATGAAGCCTCTTTGATTGCCAGCGTCTTCTCCCAAGACTCTTCGATGCGAAGAAAGCTGCTCTCTCCCCATTTTTTGACTACCTGGACCAAGCAGCCAGCGGGAAAGTAATAAAGTGTGGATGCGATATCCAAAATCTTCCATGCGTCATCTTCACGTCCACACTTGACGAAGAAGCCCAGCAAACGTGTCAAAAACAAATTGCTCGTGCAGACATTCTCGTCCTCCAACAGCTTATATGCAAAAACTACAGCCGCCTCCTGCAAGCCACTCCCGCTCAGATGCTCGGCAAAGCTTACAATCTCAGGCTGCTTCTCTTCCTCCTGCAAGAGCCCCTCAATCACCCCGCTGTAGCATTCATCCCATCCATACTTTTGTACCGCAGCAACCATAGCCTGTGCTTCTGTTTCCATGAGCTTCATCCCCCACTTCTTCATGACAGAAAAGGCTGCATCGCGAAAGTCGTGTTTGACGCAAAACTCTAGCAGAATTTTCACATTCAACCTTGTATCCTGGGAGTTTGACAAAGCATCCACGTATCGCTCTAAATCCCCACTCGTCCGGCCAGGCTCGCGCTTGTGCTGCTCCTCGAGCCAGTTCACTACACATCTGACTGACTGTGTTGCGCACAGCGCCTCCATTCTGCAATCCTTGGGCCACACCACCAGAGCTGCGGTATGATAGAACGAGTTTGTATCGCCGCCATCGTTGCCATTGTATGGTTCAGTCTCCTTCTTGTCTGGTGAGTCGTCAAAAGGATCTTCCTTGTTGCTGTCGTCCCTCACAACCTGATTTTCTAAAGACAAGCTGCTACTTGTGAAGTGCTCGGGTTTTTGATCGTCGATTGTTGTCCAGTTCTCCACACTGTAGTCAACCTCGAATATGTCACAAATCTCGTTATCGATGGTGTGCTTGACGAGCATGCAGAGATAAACGTCGAGGAAGCTTGTGCAGCTCAGCACAAGCGCTGCGACAACCCTGTCGTGTCCCTTGAGCCCCGCAAAGCTCAGGCTGTTGTTCGAGTACTTGTGGCCCAGAGGAATGGCGAGGATCGGTGACGAGGAGCCTTGCATTTTCTCAGCCCATTGTTTCAGCTGGCTTTGAACACTCCCGATGGCTGACACGTAGTGGCGAGCATCGACATCCACAAACTTTGCATTGCTCCGCACCAGGCTGAACACCAGGCAAAGCCTTGTCCCGCTCGTCACCTCGGCCAGCTTGTGCTCGCAATCGCAGAAGAAAGCCGTCTGAAAGTACCCCGTCCTTGAATCGGGACCAGAGAAATCAAAAGTGACACTCTTCTTCCCATGAAGAATCTCCAGCTTGCCACCCTCGTGCCCGGACTCTGTTGGAAGCTGCAAGATCATCGTCGCAAACATCCCAACCTCCTTCTCGGTATCCCTGTGAGACTTGAAGTGGCCACCCTGCTCATACAGAAGCAGCTTATACAGTCTCACGTCCAAGCCAAGCGCAGCCGCATCGATCCCCATCTCCTCCATCGCGGGAACGGCCATGTCGAGCACCACCTTTGAGAAAAAGTCTGGGATTTGAGGGCAACTCACTTTGGACGCGTCCACTTGCCATGCACGGCGGACATCAGTGTCGAGCAAAGTTTCCTCGCCCTTTCCATAGGGTGCTTGCTGTGACACGGCCTTGAGCTTGAGGAAGCCATCGCCGGAGAGAGGAAGGGCGAGATCTCCAGCGCCCTCCACTCGCAAGGAGGCGGGTATGGCGAATTTGCTTGCATCAACCTCGCCTCCCGTGGCGTACTTTTGGCGGGGAAGAGTAGACCACAGTACCTTGAGCAGCGCCTGGTAATCCACAAACCGCTTGTTAGCTTTTTGTTCCTTCATTTTGATTAGGCTTAGAGTTTGGTACTTTTAGCTCAAAGCCATCTTATTCATCTTTATTCTCTCTATAATCTACAAATAACTCATCCTCTCGACATGGAGGATCCGAGAGCCTAGTTAGTTCTTCTTGCTGCACGAGGTGTATCCGTGCAGCTTGCAGCGCGTCGGGATGCTCTCCGCGTTGTGCTCGTTGATGCTGTATCCCGCGGCCTTTGCTGCGGCGATGGTGCTGCACAGGCACGCTGGATTGCTCTTGAATCCCTCCACCACCTTGCAGCACGCCCCCGAGGGTGTCGCCGTAGCGCTGCGCGTCGCGGCGGCACACGGCAGCAGCGCCGAGTAGTTGTTGCTGCATGTAGCCGCCGCGGCCATGGAGACTAACATGTAAGACGCGAGCACCAGCATTGCGATCTTCACAGCCATCTCTCTTTCCCTTCTTCTCTCCGAGAAGCTTTGGATTGCTACGAGTGGAAGAAGCGCTGCCTGGCAAGCTTTTATAGTTCGGGAGTGTGTAACGCATCCCGGGATATATTCCAGATATCTGGTTGCGTGGAGCACTACCTTCACATTTTGTGTCACTTATCTTGCTCAATTGGCGCCAACTTTTGCTCGTCTTGACGCTTTCGAATGTTTCCGAGTGATTCATGTTTTACTGTCACGGTGCTTCTCCAGTGAAGAATTATCTACAAAGCTCCCATTGCTAGCTAAGGACTCGGTGCTTAAATCTTGTTTGGACCCGGTCTTGGTGGAATGATCTCGCACCTTGTCCTGGTTTGGAAGAGAAACATAAGTACAAACTATAGCCAAAACTTGCATTAGAATACTCACCTGGAATGGTTTCACCCACGCAAACTCGCCACCAGCTTTCTTCTCCAGTGCTTCCTGCGCTTGGACATCCAGAGACTCGCGCATTATGCGTCTCAAGAAGTTGACGTCGTCCGGCATGACTCCGAGGCCCCGGAGTAGCACAGACCCAAGCTCCAAGCTCGTCTGATGGTTTTTAAAGCTTTTTCAACACTGAGAAAAGCAAAGGCTTGCATACCTCAGCGTTTTCCAAGATAGCATCAGTAGCGCCGGCTTGTTTAAGCTCGAGCAAGTGTCCCAAGTCTTGTGCTCTAGCGAATATAGGCGTCTGTCCACGCAGGAGGTTAGTGCAAAAAAAAATAAAATAAAAAAAATGAAAATACCTCTGGAAATGCTAGCCGCAGCCTCTCCACTGCTTGCACAGCACTTCCTCTGCCAGTGTACATCACCATGAGTGCCTTCGGTTTTACCACCCCAGCAGTTTGTAACACCAATGGCCGTGATCCATCTCCATACAGGACAGGAAAGCCCAGCGTCCTAGACACCTGATAGAAGAGATGAGAAACAAAAAGCTTCTTGTAGTTCTAACTTCAGCTTGCCTTCACGCGGTTAGGATCAAGATCAAATGCTAGATATGGCCAGCCTTCAACATCACCGCCAGGACCATTTGCTAGAGGCGTAGACAGGAAGTTGGCTAGAACCTGGAAAAACAAAGTAAGCAAAATAAGCTATGCTGTAGATCAGAAACCTGGCCAGTCTGACCAAATCCAACAATAACAACCGGCTCAGCAACTTTAGGAATTTCCACCTTTTTAATCTGTAAAGACTACCTGGATCAGCTTCAAAGTGAAAAGCCAGTATACCTCCGTAGAATCTTGTTGAATTTTCAACTCAATAATGGTAGCAAGCTTGCGACCAATCTCGTTCAAGAAAGGAGTGAGAGCCATCGACAATACAACCACGATAATGAGTAAACGGTTGAGCTCCAAGGGCAATACTCCAAGCCTGTACAGCAACAAAAGTAATAAGAAAGTGGCACTAAAGCTCGCTTTTGTGAGTACCTGTTTGCAAGAGCGAAAACCACGAAGGCAAATTCTCCACCTTGTGAGAGAAGCAGGCCAGTACGAACACTTTCTGGCAGTGACAAGCCAACTTTATTGCCAATGGCGGTAGTGATTAGTGTTTTTATCGCGATTAAGCCACCTAGGAGTGCTAAAACATTTGGCCACTCTCGAATTAAAAGCTGCAAAATGGATAGAACAGTATAAAAATCGGTCAAAAACAATGCTCTGTCCTCACCTGGAGATCGATCGATGTGCCCGTCGTTACAAAAAACAGTCCAAGCAATAATCCTCTGAAAGGACGAATGTCTGCTTCGACTTGTGTGCGATAATTTGTCTCCGCTAAAAGTGCACCAGCGAGAAATGCTCCAAGCTTTCACAACGAAATATTCAGCACAAAAGCATCTCCTGAGTATGAATGCACATACCGTGTCGCTGAACCCAAGCTTTTGCGTTAGCAGAGACGTTCCAGTGACTGTAAGCAAACAAAGAGCTACAAAAGCTTCGGAGCTCCTTGAATCTGCTACGACCTGTATCAATTTGAATCGATTAAATAAAACGATTTGAGGGGTGGCCAACCTCAAAAATACGACGAAGAAGTAATTGTCCGCCAAGGGACAGTGCTCCCAAGCCACCCAAGGCTTTTAGACTTTCAGCCGCCATTACAGGCCAGAGACTCTCTTGTGAAAAATTCTGTAATATCGATATGAAGATACGAGCAGATGAGATATCAGAATAACATACCCCGGTTTCTAGAATTGGTAGAATGACCAGCAAAGGTACGACAGCAATGTCCTAGAAATACCAAGTTAGTAAAAGAATTTTGTTGCGCATCTTGTACTTGAAACAGAAGAATTCCAAGGGTGGCAGAGCCAAATCTTGTTGGAAGTTCTCCCTTCTCTGAAAGAAGCTGCAAAAATACAGCACTTAACAAATTAACAAAGAAGCATTTTGGACAACAAACCTGCAAGACAAATGCGGAAGAAGACAATGATAAACCCGCTCCAATAACTACAGCTTCGTCTACAGTTCTAATATTTACCTGTTAAAAGGACAGTTAAAAGATGGCCATGTTTGCCCACAAAACTTACAAGATCCGGTCGAGAATGGAAAAGAAATTCGAGAAGTCTAGTTCCCAGTGCTCCATTTGGTGGAAGCTCAAATGCTGCGAACGCTACTGTCGATAGTAAAACCTGGCATAGGAAACCAAAAAATATCAAACGAAAGGCTAGAAAACGATCAAGCACCTGTGCAAATCCCATGCCAAATGCATACTTGGCCAATGCTTTTAAACGAGCGAGAGACAATTCTAATCCCATTTCAAAGAGCTGTTGGAAATTAAAAGAAATTCGATCAGGAAAACATCACAAAAGCTCACAGCGAAAATACTTACAAGGAAAAGTATACCTAGTTCAGATAGAGCTTTGATGTCCGTCACGTTTCTGATAAGTCCGAGCTGGTTCATCACTACTCCAGACAAGAGAAATCCCAAAATCTACGCAAAAGAAAAAAAAAGTTTTCGAGCTTCATGTTGAAAAAAATAATACTCACAGGGCTTGCTTTGAAGGCTTTGAATGAAGGCACGACGAGCACTGTGGCGACGAGGAAAGTAAGCGTGTCCAATCCAAGGTCGTTGATTGTCTCCAGACTTACGTCCATGGCTCCATGAATAACAATTGCCTGTCGCGTTCTACGTCGAAAACTTCTCGTTTGCCGCAGCAGAGAACCAAAGAAACTGCTAACAATTTTTTCCTGATGGGTGGATGCCACTCCAGCTCCGGGCCTTGCAGCGCAGATTTCTTTACAATGCGCTAGCACCTATAGAAGAGAAACGAATACTTGTCTCGAGAAGATAAGAAAAGGAATGAAGAACTTACCGGGAATCCAGTCAATCTGACGTAGGGATCCTTGCACGCCAAGACGAATTTGGCGTGCAAAGCCATGGCGAGGGCTACAAATCCAGCTCCAAGATCAGCGAGGCGACGATTGGAACAAGCCGCCAAAGCTCCACAGCCGCATTCTTCACTCCACACGCCGCCATATCCACAATTGGATTTTTGGAAAGACCATATCTACGTGGCCATTTCGCGGCCTGGGTTCGAATCTTTAAGTAAACTCGTCTCTTTAAGTATGCTTTCTCTGTAAAAATGAAACCTTTAATTCAAGAGATAAGTTCCTTACTCATGGACAATGTTCACGCGTTTGTCTAACACCTTATTGAGAGTATTAGCGAGACGAACACCAGCTCGTGCAAGCAACAGTTTCACAATTGGCCAACGCGTCTCGAAATACGCATCTGTGTAACAAGAGTCGTCACTTACGAAAGGATAAAAAGTGCAAGCAACAAACCAGCCAATGTAGAGTTTTGAGGTGCATCCTTGTAACCCGAAGCGCAAGCAAATTTGATGCTCTCCTTCGCATACCTGATAATGACACAGAGCTGATTGTTCTGCCAGTTTAGACCAAATTACTCACTTACCTTACTGGACAGGTAAACTCTTCACCAGGACAGTGTCCCCACTTTGCAGCCTCCTCTGCCTAAACACGGATAAGTAACCTGGGAAGAAATGGCAACTAAGTTGTTCACAGTGATGTTTTTCTTGATATCATGTTCCATGCTTGCAATGGAACCCGCATAAAATCTTTCCAGAGCCTTGTTGATGATATCTGAGTCCCACACCTACAAAGTTCAACTTCGGCATCACACCTTCTGTAGGATGTAGCTTCATACTTACCCGATGAAGATTGCTGGAGCGGTTGTACCAAGTCAGAAGTATAGTGTTGCCACCGAGATCGCCAAGGAATCCCAAATGCATTGGCTGCAAGAAGTTCACTGTTTCAGACAAAGAAAAAGGACAAAGAGCGAACCTGATGAATGTCCCCCAAGAAATGAGCTAAGAACATAAGTGCTTCTGTGAGATTATCTGTGAGATCACACTGGTGAGGTGGAAATGCAATAGCAAAAGTTAGCACTAACAGGTGACGTTGTGCTGATGCTCGAGCTGCGAAGTGTAGTTGTAGATAGCAGCAGTTATGCACACGTTTTTAGCTCCAAAGTAGTGACAATCCCCTGCGCATATTAGAGTGAGCTTATAATGAATCCTGAAGTAATTCTTTCCTTGCTTTCATCATCGAATCCACAAACGTTGTCGGGTGTGTCTGCAAAATGGAGAGGAGCGCTCCAGCTATAAGCATACGAACGTTTAACTTGATCTGGCCATAAGCAGGCGTGCGAGAAGTTGAGGCTAGTCACGGAAAGCAAGTTTGTGACTGCGCTCTGAGTCGGTGCCTTGAAAAGAGACTGAAGAAAAAGAAGAAGAAATAAACACAGTGATAGAAATTAGAGTTGAAATACCTGTGCGATAGTGCAGGTAACAATGTGGCCGATGTCGCCCCAACCGGCAACTTCGGCTGAGAATGCTGCCAACAGCAACACCACGCTCCTTAAGGTAACCATAATCGAGAAGCGAGTGTTGCAAATAACCAGAACGAAGCTCGCAATGAAAAAAATTCCTCTTTTTCCGTATGAACAGTCACTGGAATCCAGCTAACCAACAAGACAGGCACACTGGCGTGTAGCACGTTATTGTTGTAAGAAATGAACAGTGCATTGCTACCGCAAGGCTTACTCTCTAACCATGAATAAAATTAGAAAGATTAAAAGTTGGTAATAGCCTTGTCGTGTTCTCATAGCTTTCACCGACCATCAGATCGATCACTCATAATTACGAACAGCCCCTTCGTTGAAAACCTCATTGAGTATTCCACCAAGTCGAACACCTCCGCGTGCGAGGAGAAATTTGACAATCGGCCAGCGCGTCTCAAAGTACTCATCTGCCAGAAAGCAAACTGAATCTTATAGAGAAAAACAATTGGCTAACCACAAACCAGCCAATGTGAAGTTTTGGGACACGTCCTTGTAACCCCAACCGCAAGCGATTTTGACACCTTCTTCAGCGTACCTGGACTCAAATTATTGGTATTTTTCTCAGTTGAAGGAAGTATGAACTTGCCTCAGTGGACAGCCAAACTTTCGACCGCGGCAACCTCTTCTGCCTGAACAAAAAATTAGAGACTGAGAAGCTAAGCAAATAAATAATAGGACTTATCAGTGATACTCATTCTAATATTATGTTCCATCACCCCAACTGAGCCGCCATAGTACCTTGGTATAGCCGTGTGAATAATATCTTCGTCCCACACCTGCAAGCGCATTCTAATCAGAAATGTAGCCAATTTTTACCTGATGAAGATTGGTTGAGCGATTGTACCAACTGACACGGACTCGATTGCCACCGAGATCACCAAGGAATCCCATGTGCATTGGCTGCAATCAGTCCAGAAAATCAGGAAGTTTACTAAAAACAAGCAGAAATACAAACAACCTCATGAATATCTCCAAGGTAATGGGACAAGAACATAAGTGCCTCGGTGCGATTATCTGTCAAATCATAGTCAAAAGAGTACGCAGTTTAGAGTTTGATACTAACAGGCGAGCAAACGTTGATTCTCAAGCTGCGAAGTATAGTTGTAGACAGCTGCAGTGCAGCATACGTTTTTAAATCCCAGGAAGTGACAATCCCCTGGAAACATCCAACCTTCATGTCAGCCTACGCAGTCTAACTCTAGTAGCTTACTCTCATCGTCGTATCCACAAACGTTGTCGGGCGTATCCGCAAAATGCAAGGGAGCGCTCCAACGATAGGCATACGAGCGTTTGACATGATCTGCCCAAGTGCAGCTCTGTGAGAAGTTCAAGCCAGTAGCGGAAAGCAAATCTGTGACTGCATTCTGAGTCGGTGCCTTGAAAAAGGACTGAGAAATGTGCATATCAGAGAAACGGTGATGAATATCTCATCGAAAACACATACCTCTGCGATCATGCAGGTAACAATGTGTCCAACATCGCCCCACGCTGCTACCTTACATGAGAAGGCTGCTACCAGCAACAGCAGAAATGTTGGAACATCCATATCAGCTTCCTTCCGGGGTTCACAGGCACTTTACTCTTTAAGAAATCTACTTTTGTAGAAGGATGAAAAACGTGGGACTGTACAACATACTAAGCAAAGAGCAATGCGTTAGGTTCCATAAGAAAATCAGGATTCATACCTTATTATGTTTAGTTGCACGCGATACTTTTAATCTAGACGATAGAGTGTTATGTACATTTCTTCTTCTGATCTATTATTCTAGCCAGAAACTTTTCTCTTCAGCAATGCTATCGTCTAAACACACAGAAAGTCTCCAGAGTTAAAACGAATACAAATTACAAAACAAAAACAGTTAAGGACCTGTTGCACTGTGCGCAGTATCAGATGAACGATCTCGTGCCTAGGAAGTTCCCTGTTGGGAGAATAGTAAAGGACGTAAGTTACGAGCAAGGTTTTGACACGTACTTCAAAGTCGCAGCATCGCCCTCATCGTCCATCACCTACAAGATAAGTCAAAATTTTAACTTGAGCTATGCTTACACTAAGCACAAAACTGTGTAGGCAAAGGCCTTCCGACAATCTTCCGACAGTTGCGCCAGTTCACCTGAAGAAAATAAACAAATCATACACTTTTGAAGAAAGAAAACTGCGTACCAGAAGCGAGGTGCGTGTCGTTTTCGTTAGAGGCGGCACCTGAGCTTCCTGCAATGGCAGAAATCAAGCTTTCTGTCAACTCGTCCAGACGAGAAAAATCCTCTAGCGATGGACTTCCTGGTGCCAAGTCATGGCCGCTCATTTGAGCCTGTATTATATAGTCCATAGACCTCTCCAAGAAAAATAAAGAGCAACCTCGGTTTTGGAGAGTTTTCTACAAGGAAAACATTTATAAAGATTGATGACAAGATTTTATCTCGTACCTGAGATTTCCATCCTTCTCGTGGTTTTCCTGCGAGAGTATCACCAGATTAATTTGAACATTTCAATTAATCACAGAACTGTTAAATTGCTTGAAAGCGCCTGCGAATCCCTCGACAGCCTACCTGGAAAGAAAATCATCTTAGATCCATTGAAAACGGACACGCGTGTAGAAAAACTTTCATACAATAAAGAGTACTTACGAAGAGCAGTGATGCGATGCTCGTCACTCCCGTTGCTTCCATTGCTCCCTGCAAGGAATAAAGTCGCAGGAAGTAGAAAATATCATCACAAGTGGCGAGATCTTTCCAGCTCTGTAGAGAACAGAAGATCAAGGAAAGAAATCGATAGGATCAAGCATAACAATCGAATATTTCGGAACGAATCGAGAAGATCGAGCACAGATTTGCAATATTTCCTCAAGAAGCAGCATTTTCGATTCAAGATAGCTAGCGATCAGGCAGCAGGATCATACCTAGGCGCCGCTTGCGCCGCGCGTATTCCCTGATCGGCGCCACGTTCCGCTTCATGCGAGAAATCGCGCCCTTGCGCGTTACAAAAACATACTTCGACCTAGTTTTAGGGTTCTTGGGAAGTTCTCGCTCATTTACACAAGAGCTAGGTCACATTTCTTCCAATGTAGCTAGATTTCTAGTACTCCTCGCCTTCATCGCCATCGCCTTCCACCGATTCCGTGCCTACTTCCTCGTAATCCTTCTCCAATGCGGCTAGATCCTCGCGCGCCTCGGAAAATTCCCCTTCTTCCATTCCCTCGCCGACATACCAGTGAACGAAGGCCCTCTTGGCGTACATGAGATCGAATTTGTGATCGATCCGGGAGAAGACCTCGGCGACGCTGGTGGAGTTGGAGATCATGCACACTGCTCGCTGGACCTTGGCAAGATCTCCGCCCGGTACGACCGTCGGTGGCTGGTAGTTGATTCCACACTTAAATCCCGTCGGGCACCAGTCCACGAACTGGATCGTTCTCTTGGTCTTGATCGTTCCCACGGCAGCGTTCACGTCCTTTGGAACCACGTCTCCGCGGTACATGAGGCAGCACGCCATGTACTTTCCATGCCTTGGATCGCATTTGGCCATCATCGAGGCTGGCTCGAAGGTGGTGGAAGTGATCTCCGCGACCGAGAGCTGCTCATGGTAGGCTTTCTCGGCCGAGATCACTGGCGCGTAGGACGAGAGCATGAAGTGGATCCGAGGATATGGGACCAAGTTGGTCTGGAACTCGGTGATATCAACGTTGAGAGCTCCATCAAAGCGAAGAGAAGCAGTGAGCGACGAGATCACCTGCAAAAGAAATCCGGTAAGCTCTCTCTCGATTTTTTTTTTCTCTTTCGTTTTGGTTTTTCTTATACCTGAGATATAAGCCTGTTGAGGTTTGTGTATGTAGGCCTTTCTATGTCCAGCGATCGTCGGCAGAGGTCATATATCGCTTCGTTGTCGAGAAGAACAGCCACGTCGGTATGCTCCAGCAGCGAATGCGTGGAGAGGACGCTGTTGTAAGGCTCGACGACCGCGGTGGAGACTTGCGGAGATGGATAGATGGTGAAGCCGAGCTTGGACTTTCTACCATAGTCCACGGACAAGCGTTCTAGAAGCAGAGATCCCAAGCCGGACCCCGTTCCACCTCCAACAGCATTGAACACGAGGAATCCTTGGAGACCCGTGCAGTTGTCGGCAAGCTTGCGTATCCTGTCCAAACACAAGTCGACTATTTCCTTGCCAACTGTGCCATCACGGGTAAGGAACTTGTCAGCGAGTTTTATAATTCTTTTCTGTACGCTACCTGTGTAGTGGCCCCTCGCGAAATTGTTTGCAGCGTCTTCCTTCCCGCTGATGAGCTGCTCGGGGTGGAAGAGCTGGCGATAAGTTCCGGTCCGCACCTCGTCAATCACCGTTGGCTCGAGGTCCAGAAAGACGCAGCGAGGAACATGTTTCCCCGCGCCAGTCTCGCTGAAGAAGGTGTTGAACGCATCGTCTCCGCCACCTATGGTCTTGTCACTCGGCATCTGCCCGTCCGGCTGCGGCGCACACGCAACAAGCACACGGTCAGAGGTGAGAAAAGTTCAAGTCACCGTCACTTTCGAGCGAGACTCACACACCTGAATTCCATGCTCCAGGCAATAGAGCTCCCAACACGCGTTCCCGACTTGGATTCCAGCTTGCCCGATGTGGATTGAAATGCACTCTCTCATCTTTACGTACTGGCTCGGGAACTCGAACTTGGTAGAATGTATGAGCTGGTCTCTCTTCGTAAGGAGGTAACTCTGGCGTCTCGGAGCTCGTAAGAGAGTTCTCACTCAACTAACGGTGTGGAATTTAAGGTTGTGGCGATGGACGAAGTAACCTGTAAACAACGGACACGGGCTATAGATTTCAACCGCAAGTAACCGCTGGAACCGCTAACGACCAGTTAGTGAATCCCGTTTCCGTGACAACGGAACCGACGTGGTCTCGACGTCATTCTACGTAAATTTCCGCTGGTCTCGCTGGTTAGTTTTAATTCTTTTGTTTCGATAGAAATCGTTTTTTGCGATAGGCATGACAAGTGTAGAGCCTTATGCTGTGGCCACAATCGAAGCACATCATATGGACAAAGAGGGACAGATCATTGTACACAGAAAGTATGTGATCTGTCTTTTATTTCTTGAATTTTTTTCTCATTGGACGGTTAGGTGGCATTGGCAACAAGAGAATGTACACTCCCTTTTGTTTAAACTACGGCTGAGGTACGTATTTCATTTTCTCCGGTTGGAAAGGAGAGTTGGGGGTGGAAGAATATCTAATAAGTGTTTTGCTGTGCTCTGATAGGAAGCATACAGAGACCCCACTTAAGTGTACAGTGATGTTTCTAGAAGATGTTTTGCGTCTCGGGGAATCGTTTCCTGCTTTTTTTTCTTTTCTCTCTCCTTTTGATTTTCTCTTTCCCAGATTTCAATCTTCTAGAAGAAGAAGAAGCTGACACAGGGTCGAGGCTACTTATTAATGTCGCTGCCCAGCGTGGAAATGTTGGCAACTGATCAACGACTCTTTGGAGAGGAGGAAAGATGTCACTATTCACGAGATATGTTGACTGGAAACACGCGACCGCGAGCTTTGAACCACACGAACTCCAGGTACAAGATTTGGGAGAGTCTCAAACTTATGCGAAAACTTTAAAACTCGTCTTCCAGGCAGTGACGAGAACTTTAAGAGCCATTTTGTGTATTCAAAGGCTGCACGAAGGAAGGTTCCCTTCGTGTTTTGTACAAAGCTTATGCAGAAACACGCGGAAAGGAAAGAGATCTTCATGGAAGTTGTGAGACTCCACTGTTGCGGATTGCGGCACGCAGACGTAGCAGAAATTTCTACAATCAGTCCATTCCATCCAGGCAGTGTGGAACAGGAAAACAGGAACAGTGGAGCCACAAGAAGCTTCTACCGGTGGCACGAAAGTAAACGTTTGATATCGCAAGACAAAAGCGATAAAAGAGGTATGATTTTTCCTTGTCATGGTTTCTAACCATATCGCTAATGTTCTATTAGACCAGCAAATCTGTGCGTAATTAAATTCGTAGATAAGGCCTCGGAAAAAACCGGCACGCTTTGCAAGGCTTGTACGTTGAGATAAAAGCCCACCGAGAATCGCTCGCCAAGTTCCCATGGTTTTGAGATTCTCGTGGAACAACACACAAACTTCACCACCTTTTGCTGCGTAGAAACCATGGAGATTCACAGATTAAACGCTTGACAAATCTGGATTCACTCCACCACCTTGGTGGACCTTTAATTTTTTTTTTCTTTGCCCCGTGTGAAACCAAACTAGACCAGCAAAGATTCGTTTGACTTTGGGTGAAGTTTTTTGCGAGTTCTCCATTGGCTAAACTGGTTGGTGGTGCTGTTCTTAGAAGAAGGAAAAACAAAAGTAACTCTCCGGAAAATGGGAGTAAAAAGAATAGGAATTTCCCAGTGTTTATAGCGTGATCCCTCTGTCCAAGTTCGCCCGGGAAGATTCCCCAAATTCTAGCTCCTCCTCTGTGCCAGTAGTGATAAAATTGTTTACAAGGGAAAGAGGAGGAGGTGTGCCAACGAACAACAAAGAGAGGGAATTTTTGTCAATAATGCTGGCTGGAATCTAAATCTCTTCTCTTCTCTTTTCTATTTCTCTCTCTTCCCCCAAATCTGGTGGCGTGGGAGCAGTAGAAGTTTGATTTGCATCCTCGCGCTTTGAATCGAAGTTTCTAGCGTGATCCACGAAGCGATCCACCGCTGCGGCACTCTCGTCCTTGTCCAGCATTTGCTCTACCTAGGTCGGGAAAGCGCCACAAAGCAATTCTTCTTGGATCGCTCCGCCGCTCGCTCGCTCGCTCCAGTCCAATGCCCCGCCCCGCGTCAATTCGCTCCTTGCTCGCCAATCTCATGTGGATCTGCTCGGCCTACTGGTGGTGAATTCGCGGATTCGATCAGGGTTTTGGGGCTGTTCTAGCCATGGGATGCTGGGATTTAAACTTGCCCCATGTCCCTAGAGTGAAGCTGGGGTCGCAGGGATTCGAGGTGTCCAAGCAGGGCCTGGGATGCGCGAGCTTGTCCGGCGCTTACCACGCCAGCCCGCCCGAGAAGCAATCCATCGAGCTCATCCGCCATGCCGTGGAGTCGGGGATCACCTTCCTCGACACCGCCGACTGCTACGGCCCCTTCGCCAACGAAATCCTCGTCGGCAAGGTGAGATTTCTCGCATGCCTCTGGAAATTTCGAGGTTTTCCTTCCAAGAACACACCCTTCTCTCGCATATTTCCCCCAAGAACTCATCGATTCTCTTCCAGGCAATCCGAGGGATCCGCGACAGGGTCCAGATCGCCACGAAATTCGCGGTGGCTGGCCTGGACAAGAGCAAGACCGCGACGATCCGCGGCGATCCAAAGTATGTGAGAGCTGCCTGTGAGGCGAGCTTGCGGAGGCTCAATGTAGACTACATTGATCTCTACTACCAGTACCGGGTGGATCCAAACGTCCCGATCGAGGTCACGGTAAGTTCTCTTTCTCACAACCTTTTCTTTCTTTGCTCTCCATTTCGTCCTTGTTTGTCAGTCCTTTGGTCGTTTGTCCTTAGTTTTAACTTTGTTCCCCTTAGAACTTTCACCTTTATATTTCTTGCTGTAGTCTATGAGCTATGATTTGCTTCGGTTTTCCTATAGTCTACTATGATTTTCTTCACGTCGAATTCTTGCCTCTCAGGTGGGAGAGATGAAAAAACTCGTAGAGGAAGGCAAGGTGAAGTACATAGGCCTCTCAGAAGCTTCGGCATCGACAATCCGGCGAGCGCACGCAGTCCATCCCATCACTGCCGTCCAGATCGAGTGGTCTCTTTGGGTACGAGACGTGGAGGACGAGATCATCCCGACTTGCAGGTATTTGGCTTGAAGAACTCTCTGATCTCACCGTAGAAGCACACACGTCGATGATACACAGGCCTCACGTCCGTGTCATTGCTCGCCATAGATATACTGTCGGCGATTGTCTCACTCATCTCTCTCTCTTTCTCACTCACAAACTTTGTCTCTTTCAGAGAGCTCGGGATCGGGATCGTCGCTTATGGCCCGCTGGGGCGAGGATTCTTCTCGGGGAAAGCCGTGACGGAGGATCTTGTCCCCAACGATTTCCGCAAGGTTTGTTTGCAGTTCAAGCTCTGTACCTGGAGTGGAAGAACCGTGGAGTGATTCTTTCTCTTTGATCAAACAGGTTGCCATCCCCAGATTCTTTCCCGAGAACTTGGCACGAAACAAGGTGCTGTTCGATCGAGTCCACAGCATCTCGCGGAGAATAAAGTGTGCGCCGGGCCAGCTGGCGCTGGCGTGGCTGCACAGTCAGGGCGATGACGTGGTCCCCATCCCTGGGACCACCAAGTTTGGGCACCTGGAGGAGAACATGGTGGCGGTGGGAATGGAGCTGACGCGGCAGGAGATTCGCGAGATTGAGGCAGCGGTGCCAGCGTGTGAGGTGATCGGCCAGCGTGTCAAGAACATGTTTTACACGTGGCAGTGCGTCTCCACGCCGCCCCTGTCCACCTGGAAGGCAGCGCTGTGCATGCAAAGGTGAGTCAGCGCTGCCATTTTCGTTTACCAGGAGAAACACAACCAAACCAACAACAAATGTGGTTTGATGGGATGAAGATCTTGTCATTCACTTTGAAGATTGAAATTCTATAATTGAGAGTAAAAATCCAAATTGTAAATAACAAAACGAATTTAAACAAGAACGCATTGGTCAAAAGCTATACGGTTTGTGAGAATTTGTCGTCGTTTTTACTGTTCCTTTTGGGTGCTGTGCTTTTGATTTTTCATTCTAAGAGGCATTTGATGGTGGAAGTGGTGAGATTGTAGCTTTCCTGATCGTGATGCTTCGATTTAGGTCCAAGAATGTCTAGATGGTCAATTCTTTCATGTGGGACAACACAGCAGAATGTGTGTTGCGGTGTCAACTTGAAAGCCATCGACGTACGAGTTCGTGGTGAATAATGTCGCAGCATGTTTCCGAGTTGCTCTAAATTTGTGCTGATCGGTTTGCACAGAGGTGTACTAAGAGATAAGTTTCCACTCTTTCTAGACGTAGCTGTCAGCCAAGCTTAAAAACGAGAGGTTATGTTCCCATGCACGAGATCAAGATCCAAACCATATGCTACTTGCTTTTACCAGCGAGGAAGCCTCTCACCACCGGCAAAAACTTTGCCTTTTGCTCTCTGTACATCTTCATCCGCTTGAAAAAGTATGACATGTAGTCGAAGTCGATTGCTGCTGAAGATGTTGCCTGCAAGCCAAGGTTATTTCAAAGCGCTATAAAAAAATATCCAAAGCTTTTTACCTGGACAATTGCCCAAGCCGACCATGTAATATGAGCTGCAAGCGCGTAGAAATTTGCCTCAACAAACAGCTCTTCCAGTTCTTCATGTGTCGCCTGTTAGTTCACGAGAGTTTCCACATTGACGAGATCATAAGAAAATACCTTCTCAGGATCATCTGGTCGCAAATAGTGCCTCAAGAAGTTTAGCTGCCGGTCTTTGCTTGGATAGCTGCAAAACAAGAGCATTGCTTGGATAAGAACGCAAATAAGATCGAAAATGCCTGTGGATTACGCGCAAAAGTCGCAATCGAATCCGGCATACTCGTTGAAGTGAGTTCCAATGTCAAATCCACGATAGTTATATCCACTGTACTCGAAGTCGATAAAATAGTACTTCCCTGTATAAAAGTATTGAAAACCTCCACTTCAAACACATTTATCACCTTGCGCATCAACCATGACATTGCCGGGAAGCAAATCGTTGTGTGCGTAGACGACAGGTCCCTTCAAGCGAGCGCCGATTTCCTGCAAAGATCAACCAATGTAGGCTTGACTACTATCGCTTTGGGAACGCAAACCTTCAATGTGTTGATCTCTTGCCTTAGCTCGTCAAATGACACCGCCTCCAGTTTCCTTTGATCTTCTGGACTCTCAAACTTGGTAACAGCAGACGCTGGAGCAGCAGCACTAGCATTGTTACACAAACAACCGAAAAAAAATATGAAAGAAACCCAAGAAGTTGCCATACCGAGCTCAAAGTATCTGTTAATCTCGGTCCAGACCATGGATTCCTTCTCGCCAGGAACTTCTTGCTGATGAAGGCGTCGAAGTTCTTTTGCAACTTTTGCAACGACTGCATCGTCCAGAAAATCTGCCAGCTTAGGCAAACTAATTCAAGTGAAAGAAACAAAAGAATAAAGAGTAGCTTTACGAAGAAAAAAAACCTTCAGGTGTGAGCGTCCTTGCCGTGACAAACGTTTGAATGATCCCGTTTTTAAAGACGCCTTTGAGCTCTGGACAAAACCCTGCTCGCGAAAGATGACAGGTTGCCTGCGAAAGAAGTTGAGATCAAGGAATTACTCAAAGATTACTCCCAACTCTAACCTGGATTTCTCGATCCCGATCGATCACACCCTCGGTGGCAGGACCAAACACGCGGACAACCACAGATTGATCCTTCTTGGAAACTTTAGCCACTGCAAACGAAAGAAAACGCCCGCTGCATAAAAGCAAAAAAAAAAAAGAGAGAGAGATGGAACTTGCAATTCTCCAACTCACTGATGTTTGTGATCCCTCCATTGATCCGGCAAACGTCAAAATCTGAATCATCGGCGTCTTGAAGCTCCGGGATCAAGGCCCGGCACACATTTCTGGGCGGCAAGACAAGATCAAACGAAGAAATTTCTTTCTGGCGATCGATCGATCGATCGATCAAGCGCTCGCTCAG